CCAGACCTAAGAACCAGCCTGCCGTTTGGTAACAAGTCGACTGTATTGCACCTGTTTTGTTCTAGAAGCGTTGGTATCTCACTTGGCTCAAAGTGGCATAGGTCCCGGATATGGAGTTAGCTTTCCATCGGAAAGACCACTGTCTGAGATGCTTAGAAAGCGTTGACTTGCTGACAAGGTGTCATTGGTTGTTTTCTGTTCTCTGACTCTTCTATACTTTGTTCTTCACTCTTTTGGGGGCCTGCCACTCAGCTCCCAAATAAATCACACACGGAGGCTCATTCTTTCTTATGAGTGCCCGGCCTTAGCTTGGCTTATTTCTTGCCAGCTTTTCTTAACTTAAATGATCCTTTTGCTTCTGGGCTTTTATCTTCCTCTTGCTTCTGTATATCTTACTTTCACTCTTACTCCATGTTGACTGTGTGGCTGGGTGGCTGGTCCCTTCTTTTCTCACTCCTTGATCTCTCTTGCTTTCCTATCCCTCTTTTTCTCCTCCCATTTATTCTCCCTGCCTGCCAGCCCCACCTAGCCTTTCTCCTGCCTTGCTATTGGCTGTTGAGCTCTTTATTAGACCAATCAGGTGTTTTAGACAGGTAAAGTAACACAGCTTCACAGAGTTAAACAAATGCAACATAAAAGAATGCAAAAACCTCTTTGCATCATTAAAACTGTTAAAAATGTTCCACAGCATAAACAAATGTAACACATCTTAAAATAATATTCCACAGAACACTGTACTTTATAGCAAAAGTAGCACATGATCTCAGGATCTTCTGGCCTATTGTGCAATTCACCACCCAGATGCTATGGGTTGAGACAAGAATGGACTAGCCTCTCCAAGTAAAGTGCTAATAAGATGAACCTCTGAGATACAGGGAATGCATGCACCCTAATTAATATCTATTATACGGTACCATGGCGGAACATGTGGAGTATAAAGTCTTAGGAAACCAGAGGTGGAAATATGAATGACCCTATTTATCTATCCTCTCCTGTGTTCCTACAGTTCTAGGTAGGAACTCCAGTGTTTGGAGAATTTGGCTTCAGAGTGGGGAATAGCTCCCCAAGGGAACAGAATAAAATCCCCATAACAAGTGCTGCTTTCTATCTAGAATCCTTGTGCAAAGAGGCCAGTAAGCCAGACCAGGAGTCACTTGCTGCAGGGGTAACTGACCCCCATCCTTTGGAATGCCATTAAGTAATGGAGAGGGAAACTGTATTTGGTATCTAGGGGGTCCCCTGGGATGTCTCTTGGCGCTCCCATGGCTGATTTTGGTGGAAAACAGGTGTGTGTAGCAGCGTGGTTGGAAAGACCACCCACCTAGACCAGTGGCAGTGCACACTGAAGGTAAAGAGACTCAGAACGGTACAGAAAGGACAGGGACAGATAATGAATACCTGTTGTGGCACCAAGATCTGACTGTGGTAGTGGGACCCTAGCTCATCATCGCATTTACATTTTGTTAGTTTCCCAGAGAAAGAGGCCAACACTGTCAAGGAGCTGGTCCTGGTAGAAGGAACTTGCTCTGTGAAGGGCGTGGTCCGAGCCGTGCAGGGACACTGCAGGTGGACCCTCAATCTTGTCTTTAGGACTAAGTTGCCAGGAGTGTGGGCTGCTGAGGGCTCATGTCTGAGTTTCTCCCCAGATACTTCCTTCAGCTGCCGAACAGACCCCTCTCAAAGGTGCAAACCTGTCTTTCTTCGGTAGGGGCTAAGTCAGTGGGATCGTAGCAACCCCAGAGCTCCCTGCTTTAGCCACTGTTCTTCTGCTGTAAGCGGACACAATGCCAAGGCAACTCTTAGAAGGAAAGCATGTAATGTAAACTAAAGCTGGCTTACAGTTTCAGAGGGTAAGTCCGTTATCATCATGGTGGGACATGGCAGCCCACATGGAGCTGGAGCAGTAGCTGAGAGCTTTACATCCTGATCCACTAGTAGGCAGGGAGAGAGAGAGAGAGAGAGAGAGAGAGAGAGAGAGAGAGAGAGAGAGAGAGAGAGATGAACAGATGGACAGAAAGACAGATACAGAGACAGGGCCTGGCGTGGGCCTTGGGAACCCCAAAGCCCACCCCCAGCAACACACTTCCTCCGACAAGAACACACCTACTCCAACAAGGCCACACCTCTCACTACTTCCAAATAGTTTGCCAGCTGAGGACCAAGCAGGCAAATAAATAAACCCATAGGAACCAATCTCATTCAAATGACCACACTGCCTCGGGAGGCATTCCGGTTGTGACCGCATCACTGATAAGTTCTTTTTCTGTTCCATCCTTACTTGTTTCCCACTTCAGAAGTGTTTTCTCTGGAAGCACGCTCCCAAACACTTCCAGCCCCAAAGTTCATCTCCAATTCAGGCCTTTGGGACCCAGAGAATAAGACTCTTCATTATGAAGGTGGAGCTTCTAGGCACTTGGGATTCCCACACCGGTCCAACAAAATGTTGCATACATCCTACATCCTAGCTGATCTCTACCAAATGCTCTCCAGTTTATGCATTTCATAATGAGGCAACTTAGACAGAAACCCACAAGTGTTTCGGGTGTGGCCCGATAATGCAGAGAATAATGGGGCAGAGTCTTCCTCGGTTCTAGGACACTGACTGCTCCTGGCACCAAAGAGTGAAGAACTATAGAAGTCCCAGGCTTCTCACTGCCTTGTCTCTCCTTTCCTTCTAGATCCTGATTCCAAGGGCCTGGGTGCAGCAGGGAACATGGAGCACCCATTGGCAGGTGACTCTTAGGGAATTTCAAGATGGAGAACCCCTAGGCTCAGAGTCAGCTTCAATCGGCAACTAAAGAGTGTCCGATTTTATTGGCAGCTCTGTCTTTTGACTCAGATGGAGCTGGCTGTCAGCAAAATCCCTGTTTTATTCACACATGCTTCTGCTAAGCCGACACTTTCCCACCCTGTCCCTGTACAGCTGATGTCTTGGAGGCGAGCCTGGATCTCAGTGAAGCCCTTTCATCTCACCTTGTGGGTTTGGGGGGTTGCTCCATGAGAGTAGACTGAGTCTGGTCCTCATTCTCCCACAGTATTCCTGTAATCACTAGTTTCCTGCTAGTCACAGAACCAGGAGGCCATGGATTCCTCGGATCAAAAAAAAAAAAAAAGTGGGTGGGCCAAATTAGGAGTAAAGACAGAAGCAATAATCATACCTAGGACATTTCATATGTCTGATGTGATACACTGTGCCCACTCAGTGACCGGATATCTCATTGTGTATATAAAAACTAGCCCTTTCCACAGGTCTATAAACAGAGGCAGAAAAGCTAAGTGACCATGTCCAAAAAAACACGTCATGTTTTCTCTGCCATCTGCAGCCCTTACCTCTAAGGTGACCATCTCTTGGAGACATGGGTGGCAAGGTTGACCCTCCTGATTGGAAAGAGTTTTTTAAAACTAGAGGAATCTGGACATGATGAAGTTTATTAGCTCACTAAGCCCAGCCATTTTGCTAAGAGCTCACAGCTAACATTTGCTACACTTGAGACTACCACCCAGGCTTCTTGAGCATGGACCAGGCAAGTCTGATCCAAAACGGCACTTCAAAAGGAACCATACGGTCAGGAGTGGTGATGCACGCCTTTGATCCCAGCACTGAGAAGCCAGAGGCAGGTGGATCTCTGTGAGTTCAAGGCCAGTCTGATCTACATAGTGAATTCCAGGATGGCCAGGGCTATGCTGGGGTTACACAGAGAAATCCTATCTCAAAAACAACTTAAACAGAAACAAAAGACCATATTCGAGACTGTTCTTTTCCACTCTGAAGTCCTGGATGGTTCTCCTGTAGTCCAGAGCGTTGGGAGGAGGGGACAAGCAGCATCTTACTTCTAGAATTCTAGAAAACTGTTATTTATTCACTTACTTATTTTTGAGGCAGAGTCTTATTATGTAGCAAGGCTGCCTTCAAACTTGTGATCCTCCTGCTTCAGCCTCTTGCGTGTTAGGTTTACAGGTATGTATCACTATGCCTGGCTACAGAGAACTTTCTTTCTTTCTTTTCTTTTCTTTTTTTTTTTTTTTAAAGACAGAGCCTCAACTCTGTAGCCCAAGCTGGCCACAAACTTGTGGTAATCTTCCTATCTCAGCCTTCTGAATTCTGAGGTTACAGACATGAGCCGTACCAGCTTCGGGGGGCTCGTGCATCTTCTTGGTTGTCGAAGTACCTTGGCACCGGCTCTGTCTTTGCCTCTGCCTCTGCTCACACTCCACCTTCAGCACTGCAGTGGGCAGCCAGTCGACTTCCAGCCGGTGCCCGGCTGGACAGAGCAATAACCCTGGGTCTCATCAGCTGTGGAGGCTGAGCTGAGATGTTCATGGGAGGATGCCATTTGCTAATGATTTGAACCCCAGTGTTCATAACTGCATGGATTCAGACAGCTTGGAGACAGCAGATTTCAAGACTGCAGCTTGGAACATCTCTGATTCAGCTTGCTCTGGGAAAGTGGGTCCAGCTCCTGATTCATGCAAACAGCAGTGTGTGTGTGTGTGTGTGTGTGTGTGTGTGTGTGTGTGTGTGTGACTTACTAGTCAGTGAAGACATATGGAAAGAATAGCATGTATAAAATTGTTCTATGGCCTAGAGAGATGGCTCAGAGGTTAAGAGCACTCACTGACTGCTCTTCCAGAAGACCTGGGTTCAATTCCCAGCACCCACATGGCATCTCACAACCCAACACCCATGGCAAAACACCAATGCACATAAAATTGTCCCTTGCTATCAATGGGGTGTTAACTGTTGAACCCCCCATATACACCAGAATCCAAAGACACCCCTTACAAAAGATGGTACAGCTTTTGCATGTTGACTACCACACCTTCCACATCCTTGAAGCCATGTCTCGATCACTTATGCCTGATATGATGTAAATGCCATGGAAGTAGTTGTTACCCTGCATTACTAGAGAATACTGACAAGAAAACATGTCTGCATTTTCAGTACAGATGTAACTTTTTGCCTTATTTATGTTTTAATCTGTGGTTGGTTGACTCCACAGATGCAGGACCCGTGGATTCCGAGGCTGACTGCACTGAGGAGGAGTAGAAGAGGCTGGGCAGAGTGGTGCATGCCTGCACTTCCAACACTGGAGAAACTGAGGCTGGAGGGGTGTCCTAGGTCAGGCCGCAAGTGCGGGAAGTGGGACCTATCCTTAGGAGGCAGTTGTTAAGTTCTTTCTCCACAGCTCTCCACATGTCAAACTCACATGGGATCACGTATGGCACAGGTATCAGCAGCCTCCTGGAGTGGTTGCTTCTCCTGGGCCCACCCCTTTTCCCAGCAGGCTGGGGACGTCCCTGTAAGGTGGGATTATTCCCACTTTACAGATGAGAAAGATGAGGTGCAGAGGAAGGTAAGTATCACAAGACAAATCTACTTGGTAGCTGGCTGGGTTCATAGAGTAGTGTGTGAGAAACACATTCCAGAGGATGTACCAACTTGATGCATCTCTGTCTCAGGAACAAGATAGCCATTGGCCCACAGCACACAGGGTGCCTCCCCGTTCCTGAATCCTGCGGCATCAGGTAGGAAAATGATCTACTTGGCAGGTAGCTCTCCGCGCCTAGAGATGAGTTCAGTGCAGAAGCTCACTACTGAACTTCTCTGGTGAGCAGATTGGAAATCCCGTCACCCCGCGAGTCCCGAGCCACACTGACAAGTGGACACGGGAAGTTGGGACCTACTAGCCCCCACCCCCACCCCGTACCCCTCCCCGCGACAGCTGTTGGATATGAGCGCCTTCCCTGTCTGCAGCCCACAGCTCCCCCACGTCAAACTCAGCATCACAAATGACACCGATCTACCAGTGGCTTCCTGGAGTGCCTGATGATCCGCCCCTTTCCCCGGCGGCTCGGCTTTCCAGTGCACCCAGCAGGGGGCATCCTTGTCCTTCCACTGTCCACCCTGGGGGCCGGCTTGGCCTGCTGCCAGCAGTGCCTTCCAATCAGCAATGCCCAAGAGTCAGCCCGAGGCCAACTCCCCAAATGTAGTCCTGTGTCTTCCTTCCGCCACAGCTACTGTACTATTATTTACATTGGTTTTTTTTTTCCCCTTTGTCAACTCAACATTTTTAAAAGCTTTAATGCTGTTTTGGTAGAGTCTCACTACATTGTCCCGGTCTCTAGGTTAGCCTGGAGCTCCAGCCAGAGCTCTAGCCATCCTCTGGCCTCAGCCTTCCAACGAACTGTGACTATAGGCATGCGCCACCATGCTGGGCAGCCTATGTGTATTTTTAAACGAGGAAACCCCCTGTTCAATAAAGGTCTTTCGAGTGGCTTGCCATTCTTAGGGCTGGCATCAGGATTTGGTAGGAGCCTGCAGGCCTCCATTGAAGTTATAGTTGGGAATCCCAGGACCATCGATGGGTAAGGATATAAAACCGTTGTTCTGTGGGCTTAGGGCCTGAGATTGAAGGAGCAGAGTCCAGAAATCTTGGAAGGAGGAACAGAAACACCCCTCCTCCCTTGCAGATTCTCTTCTAGGCCCATGGCTGCCGGCAAGACAGGAAGGAGGAACTTGGACGTGGGGGCCAGATCCGTCGCAGGTGACAGGTGTAGGGCTTTGGGAAGGGACAGGGATTTCCCTTGCAAACTTCATTCAAACAGACAGGGATCCTGATCCCAGGGAGACAGGCAGATGTGCAGGGGCTCCCAGGAGGCCCCCAGGAAGGTCCAGCGCTAGAGGGAGTGGGTAGGAGAGACATTGAGGGAGGGGTGGGTGGGAGCGCCCGTCACCTGTAGGGGTGTGGGAGCTGTGTCCTGGTGGCTCATTTAGGTCTTGCTCTAGGCTCCTGCCCCTCTGGTCTGAGAATTGCTTTTCTGGGACCATTTCTGAGCTAGCTTCCACTGAAGTGCCCACTGCCTTTTGTTGGTTGGTTTTTGAGACAGGCTCTCTTGTGGCTCAGGCAGCCTTGAACTCCTGATTGCCCCGCTTCCACCTCCAAGTGCTGGGACAACTGGCAGGTGCCACAGCCCCAGAGTTTTACCTTGACTTCTCACTCATGCCAACTAACTTGTCCATCTAAGCTGTTCCCCTGTGCCCACCCCCAACTCTCCTGCGTGGGCTCTCACCTGCAGAGGTGAGTAATTCCAGGGCAGGGGGAAGGCCTCACAGTTGTCAGGAGTGGCACAAAGACCCCTGACGAGACCTCTTGCAGAAAGCTGCGGCCTCAGAGGGGAAGGAAACCATGGGTAGAGCTTCTAGCCTCCCCAGCTGGACTAAGAAATTCGATAAGAGTGGATTAGGTAAGAGGAAGTGGCTGGGGCTAAGCCGGGCTGGAGCTGAACCTCTGGGATAAGATAGCGACACTGTAATTACCACAACACTTTGAGCAGGGGCTAGAGCAGGGCTGCCTCTGCTGGTCAGAACCTCTTGCCCCCGGGGTCCCTGTGTGAAGCGGAGCACTCAAGGGAGGCTGGTGGCCAAGGGCTTCTCCAGGCTGTGGAGAGCAGTAGTGATTTTTAGGCCTTCACCGAAAGGCTCAGAGGCCCCGAGAAGTGTCGCCGGCGAGGGCCGTATTGCTTCACCTGACCCTCATTTTCATTGGGAGGAAGCATTGAGAAAGATGAGCCGGGTGCTCGGGGGAACTTTGCTTATTCAAAACACTCAATGCCAGCTGCAAGGGCTTGGCCTGTCCCTGACGCCCATCTCCGGAGTGGACCCACCCTCTGAGGACAGGACCCCTGCTCTGTGGAGGACCCTTTTTCTAGAGAGTTCTTTGTGTCTCCCCCCTCATCCCAAGGCTCTGTAATGGCATCTTCTACTGTCCAACACCTCACATCACTCCCTTCCATCCACCCTTCAGGGTCAAATCTAAGCAGACTATCCTTGTAACAGAGGCCCTGGCCTCGGGACTTCTAGACCTCATGGCCCGCCCCTCAGTTCAGGGCAGCCCAGAGAAGGAAGCCCAGAATAGGAAGTTGCTGAGGCAGAGGGTGGGGAGGGACTCCCAGGAGAGGAGCCCAGCCCCCCGGGGCAGAAACAGCTATTGTAGCCCCCCACTTCAGACAGAGGAGGAGGCTGATTTACAAGGCAGATCGACTGGACCCCTGCCTGAGGCTATGAGTCCTGCATCTAGCCCGTAGGCTATAAGAGCACCCCAACTTCCGGACCAGGGCTGGGTGGGTGCCATGTGAGCCCAGTCTAGCTTCCCCTCCTGTTCACCCGCCTTCCTTCCCTCCTCCTGTCTGCTGGTGTCTGCCCAACCTCTCCAAAGAGGGACCCTTGACATCATGTCTCTGCTCAACCCTGTCCTGTTGCCCCCTAACGTGAAGGCGTATCTGAGTCAAGGAGAGCGCTTCATCAAGTGGGACGATGTGAGTTGGGACGGGCCCTGGGAGTGGCCGGTGCTGGGTAGCTCCGGTGCTTGGCAGAACAGGCAGGCGGGTTGGTTTATGTCTCCCAGCACCCAGGCGCCTATGTGGCTTGGCTAGGCAGCTGGCACACAGCTAGATAAACAAGTCTGGGGTAAGGGTGCTTGTCCCTGGCTGCTGCAAGGAAGCCGGTGTGTCTGGGAATGAGGAGGTGGGCTGCGTGTGTGTGTGTGTGTGT